TAATCACTCAATTAGATTAAATTTTGCCCTGTGGATTTTTTTCTTAATTCAGTAACATTTATATTTTGCACCTGAAAAATATACTACCATTTAGAACTGTCATAAAACGTAGGCATGGCCTACATTTTTCTAATTGCCAAATGAGCCAAAGTTTCCTAGGCTGTGACTCTTAGCAGACTGAGCTGGGTTAGATGGGATCACTGCACTGCATTCTGTGACCCACCTTTCTCTAAGGCTCAGTGACCGCAGCCGTAGTTTTGCCCTTGAGAACTTGGGTGTACTTCTCAGGAGTAAGTTCTTTTAGGTTTTCCTGAACCAGTCCATATATTTTTAACAACCCATGAAAGCCATGGTTTCCCCATGCATGGGCTCTAGGGTTGGCCCAGCTTCCCCAGCATGTAAGCATGTAGGCCAGTGTCCCAGTGTCCCTTCCCATCAAGCATTTTTGTTTTTAGAGAGGAGAAAGGTGGGCCAAACCTATGGAATCTGATTCTTCCTAGGAGTTCAAAGAGATCACAGCTGTGACCTTGTGAGGTCTTCCCCCAAGATTGCTCCTTTTCTTGACTGTTTAAACGAAGATGACTCAGTTTCATGATGGCCATTTAGAGTATCTTCAGTCTAACCTCACACTGCTGACCATTAGGGGTGGAAATACGATTTTTAAAAGTCTATGCCCACTGACTTTTTAAATACTATTTGTTCAAGAACTGTCAGATAGATTCCTCTGACAGGTTGAGCGCCGCTACAGTCCGGGAGGATTGCGTCGGCGACAGTCATCTTGATGAATCTATAAGTTCTCAGTGTGAAGAATGGGTGTGTTTATATGTTGATTGTGCTTAATTATGAGTTTCTCTAAAGGGTGCAGTTAAAAACTAGGCGCATAGAAGAAGCAGGGTGTCGGGGAAAGGGTTCCACTCTTATATGCCTGCACGGGGCAGCCACCTTCCCAGGATCATGTTGTAGTCACCAGCCTATTGTGGAGTCACTTCTCTACCCTCCCCCTTAGAGTGCTTTGCCTCCCTACAGCATCAATTTTCTTGTACCTGGAAGGCATTAGCCATTTTCCCAATCATCCTAACTACTACCCGTGTCCACAGCTCCCTAGGCCCTCCTGCCAGCCCAGCTGGAACACAGATGCAAGTGAGGCTGGGGAGAGGGTGCTTGTCTGAGCTCTGTTGGGTCAGAGCTCCTCTCTGCAAATGCTAACAGCTGGCAGCACTGAGCTGACACTGAACAGATTGTTGTGGGGATTCTGGCCTTACTCCACTTAACTAGACCATGAAGGACCTGCTGCTGCTGCTGCTGCTGCTGCTGCTGCTCTTTCCTGCCTGTTTTCAAAAAGTTCTTCCAGCAGTGAAATGCTTCGAAGCTTAGAAATCAAGACGAGTATTTCAGATATAGGGTTTTGGTTCTTCAGGTGTCAGAAGGCTGGCAGATCAGATGATAGCCATAGCTTGTTATTCATGGGTACCAGGAGGAGGGTCCAGCCATGCAGTGCCCTTTGGAAGCACTGGGGTTGGTCAGGAGGCAGAGGAATGAGAGTAAGAGGTTTGAGGACAGGTCTAACATTGCCAGCTTGGGTAACTTCAGTGGGCTTTGGGCGTGGCAGATGCTGAATGGTATGACATCGGGCTCTAAGGTGATGAACACAGGGGATGGGGACCCAGAGTGTCAAAGCCTCCTAGTGATAATTGACGATATATGTGGCAGGGGATACTCTGAATTGATTTTCGTAAGCAAGTCCTTTACTATCTTTAGGAATTGATGAGGCCTGGGAACAAGCAATTTCCCTGTAGGCAGTAAGAATCTAATGTCAAAATGCCAGAATAAAAAGACATGCTTAGTATGAGGAGGGTGAACAGATATCCTTTAATTAGTCAGCATTCCCACCAAACACACACATCTGATTGACTGACAGATCTGTCTAGTGTGTTTCCAAGCCAAGGACCCCCCCCAACCCCACAGACTCCAGAACCCCTTCTTGAACAAATTAAAAAAAAAAAAAAAAACTTAGAATTTAGAGCAAGTGAGAGAGATGGTGAGAAGGGAGTTACTGGGGCATGCCACCCTGACACCCAGTGTTCATCCCTCCAGCCAAGACTGACACGGCCTTCAAGGCGTTCCTGGATGCCCAGAACCCACGTCAGCAGCACTCGTCCACACTGGAGTCTTACCTCATCAAGCCCATCCAGAGGATCCTCAAGTACCCACTTCTGCTTAAGGAGCTGTTTTCACTGACTGATGCGGAGAGCGAGGAACACTACCACCTGGACGGTGAGCACGGCCTCTGTGCCCCTGTTGTCCCAGGCAGGCCTCTACATAGTTCCTTCACAGTACCTCTCTTCTTCTAGTGGCCATCAAGACCATGAACAAGGTTGCCAGTCACATCAATGAGATGCAGAAAATCCATGAAGAGTTTGGGGCTGTGTTTGACCAGCTGATTGCAGAGCAGACTGGGGAGAAGAAAGAGGTACGAAGCCCCTTCCCAGGACATCTGTAGCAAACAGGGCTGGGGTGACTGTTCTTTTATAAGGCATTACCTGTGCATATAACTCTTGCATGATTGTTTTCTTGGGCAACTTTTGTCCTTGAATTCCCCAGAGAGTAGATTAATAGGCGTGTAGTAGGCATGTAGTAGGCAATGACAAGGGATTGTGAAACGAGTGTCAGTTTCCAATGATAATAACTCTTCAGTCCACCCAAAAACCTGCTTAAAAGAAGCAGTCATAGGGACTGGAGAGATGGCTCAGCAGTTAAGAGCAATGGCTATTCTTGCAGAAAGCCCAAGTTCAAATCCCAGCACCTACATAGCAGCTAACAGCCATCCCTAACTCCCAGTTCCAGAGGATCTGACGCCCTTTTCTGTCCTCCATGGGCATTTCATGGCATGGGTGCACTTGCATACATGCATGTAATACATATACATAAAGTAAAAATAAAGCAAAAAAATTTTAAAAAATAGAGAAACAGTCATGGGACCAACTACAGTAAGGCTTGGCTGCATCCGAAATCATGCCTAAGTCATTGGAAAGAGCTTAAATGGAAAAAAAAATACTGGTGATACTGAG